TCTCTCGATTAATAACCCAGATTTTTGCATTAGGCAGGGATTTTGGTCCAGGGAAGCAGGAATTAAGATACTGCAGGATAGGTTTAGTGATGCACAATGGACAATACTGATTTTTTGACATAGCTTCCTAGTTGGATAACCATCTGTTCTATTATAAACGGCCTCGGCCCAGTATACCTGAAAGAGCGTCTCCACCCCCATCGCTCTGCCCGGACGCTGAGGTCCAGCGCTGAGGGCCTTCTGGCGGTTCCCTCACTGCAAGAAGCAAAGCTACGGGGAACCAGGCAGAGGGCCTTCTCAGTAGTGGCACCCGCCCTGTGGAATGCCCTCCCACCAGATGTCAAGGAAATAAACAACTACCTGACATTTAGAAGACATCTGAAGGCAGCCCTGTTCAGGGAAGTTTTTAATGTGTGACATTTTAATGTATTTTTAATCTTTGTTGGAATCCACCCAGAGTGGCTAGGGAAACCCAGTAATATGGGTGGGGTACCAATAAATTATTATTATTATTATTATTATTATTATTATTATTATTATTATTAGACTGTATTTGGCTTTTTTTTTTTTACAGTTATACAGACTTATATATTTCACTGGTATTCCACTGTGGGAGGGCTTACAGAACCTCCCTGAACATTGAAATCGACCAAGATGGTTCTTACATTGCATAAGTTAAGCAAGTCTAACTTTTATTGGTACAGAGTTTGAACTGCCAGGGTACAAAACGTCCTACTAATGTGAGAGCAGGCCTTTTGCTGCTTTACAAAATAAATTGTGTCCGACAAAGCAAACAAACTGAGCTACAGCTCAGATGAAAGGACAACTTAACAAGTCCATTTTGTTGAGAGATTAGCTAGCACAGTACTGACTTGACATAGAAGAGATGTGAAACAAATAGCACTTCTGTTCAGATCCACAGAGTTGGATTAAAGCAACTTTCCCTTTAGTGTAGCATGGCGGCCATTCAATGTCAAATCCTAACGCAACTCCCTAAGATAAGGTTGTAACAATATCCTCAGAGAGTAAGGAAGAATCGTTTGTGTTATAGATGTAAACAACGGAACCATGGAATTCTAAGAAGGGAAGGTTGTGTCCACTTTGGCCTCTTCAGTCATCCACTGAGGTAGTTTATTTGATGAAGAATCCATATTCCTATCAAATTTATTTGTTTGGATTTGTATGTTAACTAACCTAAGGTTTCCCCACTCCACAGATCCAGAGCAACCTTTCCTGCCAGACCCCCATTAGACTGTATTTGTTACATTCAATAATAATAATAATAATAATAATAATAATAATAATTTATTTATACCCCGCCCATCTGGCTGGGCTTCCCCAGCCACTCTGGGCAGCTTCCAACAAAATATTAAAATACCGTAATACATCAAACACCCCTCACCTGAACATACAGCTTGACTTACAAAACACGGATATTCCAAAACTGCTCTAATTCATAAGGTAGAAAAATCTACAGTGGTACCTCGGGTTAAGAACTTAATTCGTTCTGGAGGTCCATTCTTAACCTGAAACTGTTCTTAACCTGAGGTACCACTTTAGCTAAAGGGGCCTCCCACTGCTGCCGCCGCCACCATGCGATTTCTGTTCTCAACCTGAAGCAAAGTTCTTAACCCGAGGTACTATTTCTGGGTTAGCAGAGTCTGTAACCTGCAGGGTCTGTAACCTGAAGCGTCTGTAACCCGAGGTACCACTGTACTAAAAAGATAGCACAAAGTCTTTGTACAGAAGAGGCGTATTAAAGAGATCACGAAATGTTCCAGGTAGAGATAGAAGATTTTAAGGGACACCTCAATCCTTGTTAATATACAAAACTACATATTGATGCAATGTAGTTCCAGTCTATGAGGATTTGACCTAACGTCACTGAAAATTATGGAATAGATACCAAAATCAATGGATGAGGAAGGGCTGGTTACAGGGAACCAGGCAGAGGGCCTTCTCGGTGGTGGCGCCTGCCCTGTGGAACGCCCTCCCATCAGGTGTCAAGGAAATAAACAACTATCCGACTTTTAGAAGACATCTGAAGGCAGCCCTGTTTAGGGAAGTTTTAAATGTTTGAAGTTTTATTCTGTTTTTAATGTTCTGTTGAAAGCCGCCCAGAGTGGCTGGGGAAACCCAGCCAGATGGGTGGGGTAGAAATTAACAACAGCAACAACAACAACAACAACAACAACAACAACAACAACAACAACAACTCTAAATTGGCTTTGTGATGTCAGACAAGCATACCTTATTGGCTAGGTCGCATTGTGATATCATCTGGCTGACAGCATGACCTGTAAGCAGCTGGGGTCATAGTGCCAGCAAGAAGGATTCAATATATTGGTTCAAAAAAGGCAGCCAAAATTAACCCCACTCAATGGACCAGAATGTGTTGTAAACCCCCCTTTAAATCCATATCAACGAAAAGAAAAGAACTCACTCTGAAACTCACCTACAGGTGGTACCTAACACCAAGAAAACTAGCGCTAATACGCCCAAGAACCTCACCAAAACGCTGGAGAGGGTGCACCTCCACAGGCACATACCTCCACATGTGGTGGGAATGCCCAAAAACCAACTATTCTGGACAACAGCCATACGAGAAATTTGTAAAATAACTAAGCAAGTATTAGAAATCACCCCAGAATTGGCCCTACTAAACATCTTCCAAGACAACAATGCCATTAACCCACCTACTTTCAGCAGCCAGAAACACCATAACCAGACACTGGAGAGACCTGTCAGGAGTAAGCATGGACCAATGGTACCAAATAGTATGGGAATCAGCCTTACTAGAAAAATTAACCAATAAACTGAAACTGACACGGGGACAAACAGAAGAAGATGCCTTTACCCCGGTATGGCTCCCCTTTATCACATACACAGCCCAACAAGACAATGACAATAATCCACCAACAGCATACAAATCAAGCTGGCTAACCTGATCCAAAACACACACCCACCCCACTCACACACGAAAACAAAGATCACCACAGCCAACCACAAACAAACAAGGCCAACCCCAACCTCTCTCACCACCAAAGGAACACAAGTGAACAGCAGAGAACCTGCACAAGCAACACTGACACCAAACCCTACATACATTAAGCACAATAGAAACATCACCACCCAACCCCACCCCCACCTGTCTTCCACCCCTCCACCCCTCTCCCCCTTTTCTTCCTAATGTCTCAACAAATGAAACTGATTTGTAAAAATGTTACATGGAAAAAAATACAAGAGAGAGACATTACACATACTTCTGTAAATCAAGAAAATCTTTAATAAAAATACAAAAAAGGCAGCCAAAGCACAAAAACCACGAGAAACGCAAAAACTTCCCAAATGTTAAATGGCCACACAAAATCCACCCCCTGCCTCTTTTCCAGGCAAGTTGTTTGCTTTGTGGACATTTAGGATAGCCTTACTGTTAAATCAGCTTTAGTTTTGGCAACATGCTTGGGCGTAGAATGCAGAATAGTCCATGGTGTATTATATACTCTGAAGGTATTTACAGCTTTCAGTGTTAAGGTATCATCATCATAAAAATCAGGGGAAACTGTTTTAACAATTTCAGTCATTTCCGCTCCTCGGTCATATGATAAGAAAACAACCAGTGTAGTCTGAGACTGGGGAGAATTTAAGAGTCTAGCACAGGGCACAGAAGCAGAGATACTCATTTATGCTTACACAATCAAAGGGACTCCACTTTATAGCTTACTTAGCATAATGGCCAGTTTATACCTGAAAGGCCCCGAGCTTTTCACAGAGCAGTTATTAACGTGGGGAGGGAAAGCGAGGCTTGATCATAATTCTGGAGAAAGGAAATCAAATGCCATTACCTGCTCTCCTATGAACATGTAGCAACTTGGCACATATAGGAACGGGTTGCGGTAAAAAAGATGTTACCTGACCACAGCAGACCCCTGGTGAGGATGTGCACCTCCTTCCATCGCATGAATCTATCTCAATTAGCCTAGCAGAACACGAAACCAACTGAAGAACGGAACGGTAACTGAAATATATCAGTTGCCATGCTCACCTGTTAGACCATAGGATAGTGGCTCTGGTTCTTCCTTAGCTACCAAAATCTACACCACCCTTGCATTTAAGCACTTCTGTAGTAGCCACAGATAAAAATGAATTGTCTGCTTGCCAACAAAGTTCTGTATAGTAAAAGCTATGGTTTTCCCTTTGAACAAACTGTGGGAGGCAGTGGAAGACAGGAGTGCCTGGCGTGCTCTGGTCCATGGGGTCACGAAGAGTCGGACACGACTAAACGACAACAATGGTTTTCCCAGTAGTGATGTATGGAAGTGAGAGCTGGACCATAAAGAAGGCTGATTGCCAAAGAATTGATGCTTCTGAATTATGGTGCTGGAGGAGACTCTTGAGAGTCCCATGGACTGCAAGAAGATCAAACCTATCCATCCTTAAGGAAATCAGCCCTGAGTGCTCACTGGAAGGACAGATCCTGAAGCTGAGGCTCCAATACTTTGGCCACCTCATGAGAAGAGAAGACTCCCTGGAAAAGACCCTGATGTTGGGAAAGATGGAGGGCACAAGGAGAAGGGGACAACAGAGAACGAGATGGTTGGACAGTGTTCTCGAAGCTACCAGCATGAGTTTGACCAAACTGCGGGAGGCAGTGGAAGACAGGAGTGCCTGGCGTGCTCTGGTCCATGGGGTTGCAAAAAGTCAGACATGACTAAACGACTAAACAACAACAACAACAAAGTACACACAGCCCCATCTAGGTGAGCAAGTAAGCAGGCAGAAGCTGTGAGCTATGAAAAGTTTCACAGGGTGGTGAAGGACGGATGGCACTCTCTGTCCCTATTCTGCCAGCCCCCAGTAGGCTACTAATTTTTTTCACAGGCTAGTAACTTATGTGGACTTATTTGCAAGGCTGGCCAACATATACTTCTCAATGAATTATTTGGGAAACACAACTAATTTTGTGTGTGTTGTCCCCATAATACTCGACGCATCCTTACCCAGTGCTGATCATAATCAGATGGTCTTCCTCTGCCCTCCTCTTCGTCGTAAAAAGGTAAGCCTTCTCGTCTTGCTTGATGGTACTCCTTCCGTAACTTCTGGATGCGGTCTGCAGTTCCAACAGGTGGATGGTCACTGGAGAATGAAGAAAATGTAGCATAAGTTGCATCAGAGGGCGTTTACATCGTCAGCACATGTAAGCACAGAGTCCATAGCTGTCAATTTACAGATTTGAAAATAAGGGACCAGCAGCCTCGAAAATAAGGGATCAGCAGCCAAAATAAGGGATCAACAATTACTTTGATAAAATACATATTTTGTTGCATGCAAATGGCTTTAGATACCTATTAGGTCCATAAATTACCATATAGCATATATTCAACACAAAAAAGGCAACAATTTGTTGTTGACAAAGTACAGCTGGACATAGAAAGGGCCCCGTTACCTTCAGTAGCTTATTTAAGGGACATCATCAATAAGGGACAGCAGCAGGTCATGGAACTGGGATAAGGGACTGTCCCGCCAAATAAGGGACACTTGACAGCTATGACAGAGTCCGATGGAATTCATTTTCAGTTCAAGTTGTAGTGAAAACTTTCATTTTGGATATGTGCACGGGCAGGCTAGTTAGGGCTCCTGCTTGCACCGTTTACACCAGGGGTCGGCAGCCTAAGGTCCATGGGCCACAAATGACCCATGGGGGTTGTTTAACCGGTCCATGGACCCCCACCGCCCGCTCAGGGACCCCTGCTGCCCACTCGGTCAGCTCCTATGGACCGCCTTCCGTGACGCTGGCCGGCTTCCCACTGGCTGCAGGAAGCTCCTGCAGCCAATGGGAAACTGTGCACGCCTCCTCCGCACCAGAAATAGCATTTGCACATGCGTGTGCATGCATTCCGGCCCACTGCAGCGTCTGTGGGACCGTGAACCGGCCCAAGCCACAAAAACTTTGCCGGCCCCTGGTTTACACCTTGCCTCCAAGCCACAAATTCAAGAAAGCAAAATATTTAACAGATGAAATGGAACATGTTAATATTTATTTGGGTCTGTCCACATTGCAAGTTTATTTTGAGCTCAGCCTGAAACACCTACACCCAAGACATCTGGAAACCTGGGTTCAAGTTATTCCTCTCTGAGGTGGGGAGAGGAGCAAGGTTCCTGCCACAACTTAACTTTCAACCTGCTCCTTAAAACAAAAGTGTGTTTCCATGAAACAATTCTCCAGCTTGGCTGCAGTGATTGCTATGGCTCGGTTGGCTACTGAAGTAATTTGCTCACAATTAGAACACTGTGGCTGAAAGGGTTGAGAGATAGTTGGGTGGGAGGGAGGAAGGAGACAGTGATGTTTGAGATGCACGATCAGCCTCTAAATTACAGTAATATTAAGCTTGCATTAGATGCATAAAGCAAAGAAAGAAATGGAAGTGTATGCGGGATGGGGGGTGGGGAGTACTGCTAGCTGGCTAAGATTTATATTTCCTGTCTTATGCGGGTTTAAATATAAAAATACTAAACTAATTTGATTCACAGCGACGTTTATGGATGCCATATATACATTCCCCAATGCCTGCCCAATGTGGGTATTAAATGTCAAGGGAGAAGGAATAGTTTTTGATGAATGAGGCCTCATTGGGTAAATAATATAGGCACACTGTGGAAACCAAGCTCCTGAATGCTTCCCTTGATCTGGACACTATACATCTGTTGATGCAGCCTAGAATAGCATTAGCTTTTTTTGCTGCTGCATCACACTGTTGCCTCATGTTAAGCTTGTGGTCCACCAAGACCCCTAGATCCTTCTCACATGTGCTACTAGTAAGCCAGGTGATCGCCGTCTTTTATTGGTGCAGCTGGTTCTTCCTGCCTAAGTGCAGAACCTCACATTTGTCCCTATTGAAATTCCTTTTGTTAGTTTGGGCACAGCTCTCCAATCTGTTAAGGTCATTTTGAATCCCAATTCTGTCTTCTGTGGCATTAGCTGCCCCTCCCAGTTTGGTGCCATCTGCAAATTTGATGAGCATCCCCTCAACTCATTCATCCAAGTCATTTATAAAGACGTTGAACAACAACGGGCCCAGAACAGAACCCCGAGGCACCCCACTTGTCACTTCCTTCCAGGATGACAAGGAACTTTTAATCAGTACTCTTTGGGTTCAGTCAGCCAACCAGCTGCAAATCCATCTAACAGTTATCTCTTTCAACCTACATTTTACCAACTTCCTTGAAAGAGTATCATGGGGGACTTTGTCAAAAGCCTTATTGAAATCAAGATAAACGATGTCCACAGCATTCCCCTGATCCAACAAGCTTGTAACTCCATTAAAAAAAGAAATGAAATTTGTGTGGCATGACTTGCTTTGAGAAACCCATGCTGGGTCCTTTTTTAAGTGCTCACAGAGCAACTGCTGAATTATCTGTTCCAGGACCTTTCCTGTTAAAGCTATGGTTTTCCCTGTAGTGACGTATGGAAGTGAAAGCTGGACCATAAAGAAGGCTGATCACCGAAGAATTGATGCTTTTGAATTATGGTGCTGGAGGAGACTCTTGAGAGTCCCATGGACTGCAAGAAGATCAAACCTATCCGTTATGAAGGAAATCAGCCCTGAATGCTCACTAGAAGGACAGATCCAGAAGCTGAGGCTCCAATACTTTGGCCACCTCATGAGAAGAGAAGACTTCCTGGAAAAGACCCTGATGTTGGGAAAGATCGCACAAGGAGAAGGGGACGACAGAGGACAAGATGGTTGGATAGTGTTCTCGAAGCTACCAACATGAGTTTGACCAAACTGTGGGAGGCAGTGGAAGACAGGAGTGCCTGGCGTGCTCTGGTCCACGGGGTCACGAAGAGTCGGACACGACTAAATGACTAAACAACAACAAGGAACTGGTATTGATGTCAAGCTCCCTGGTTGGTAGTTACCTGGGTCTTCTTTTCCCCTGTTTTTGAAGATGGGGACAACATTTCCCCATCAATCCGCAGGGACCTCACCTGTTCTCCAAGAATTCTCAGACAGAGGCTCTGAGATTACCCTTGGGTGCAGCTTATCAGACCCTGGAGGTATGAATTAATTTAAAGAAGCTAGGTGTTCCCTTACCACCTCTGTTCCTATCTTGGAGCTGCCGCTCCCTCCTTACATCATTTATTCTGTTACCACCAGGTTGGGCATTGCTTTCCTTTTGCGTGAAGACAGAGGCAAATTAGGTGTTGAGCAGTTCCGCCTTCTCTCTGTCACCCAATAGCATTTCTCCATCTTCTCTGCGCAGAGAACCTGCCACTTGCTTGTTGTCCCTCTTGGTTTGAACATAGCCGAAGAAACCCATTTTTTATTATTTTTAACCTTGTTAATGGGGAGGCTTGCAGTGGGGGCTCAGTGGCGTCAGTGAGAGTTGGGTGCCCTGACTTCCGTAAGTGAGAGCACTTTTCACTAAGGCAAAGAACACTCGGCTGACTGTGTGAGGTTGCAGGCAGCGTCATCTCCACAACATAATGTGAGAAGCTGCCCTTGGTGGAAGCGCTGTCTATAAAATACAATCTGTCGGCAAATCTATATGGTAGAATAGCAAGCTGGCTTTGCTGGTCATTTTTGTGGAGCAGCAAACCTCTTCTGAGAAACCTTCTGCAAGATAATTGCAAGCTTAACCTGGCCCAGAGTCTTAAATATTAGGGGCTAAATAAAAAACCAAGCAGCTGTGTGCTTTAGAATGAACTTTCACCAGCAGATTGCCCACAATTTAGCTGCAGGTTGGAGCTACAAAGCTCCACACTACAATAAGAGCGAAATTCTTCTGAAAGGGGTGGGTTGGTGGGGTGGATGCTGAGGAAGGTCAGTGTTGGCAGTACATCCCCATTTTATCCTCCAAACATAAAATGCCGGACACAGCCTTAAGAGATGGTTTTCTTAATAACTGCCCACATAGTTAGAAGTACGGGCTTTTTAAAGATTTCAGTATACAGTGGTACCTCGGGTTACATCCGCTTCAGGTCACATCCGCTTCAGGTTACAGATGATGCTAACCCAGAAATAGTGCTTCAGGTTAAGAACTTTGCTTCAGGATAAGAACAGAAATCATGCTCCGGCGGCGGCCCCATAGGCTAAAGTGGTGCTTCAGGTTAAGAACAGTTTCAGGTTAAGAACGGACCTCCGGAACGAATTAAGTACTTAACCTGAGGTACCACTGTAATTGAGGAGAGAAACAGAGCCGTCTTTCCCATTGGGCTTACTGGCGCATTGCGCCAGGGCACTGGCCTCTCAGGGGCGCCACAGCAAGTGGGGGAGCTGCACGGCTTTGCCGGCGGCCTCCCCTTTCCCTCCTGCATGCCTGCCAGCTGCGCCCCGTCAACCATATGGCTGGCAGGCGTGCCGCTTGCCTCCCAAGCCTCCATGGGAGGTGAGCGATCTCTGCAGAGGCTTAGGATGGAAGCTGCGCCCCACCAACTATATGACTGGCAGATTCCTTCCCAAGCCCCCGCAGGAGGAGAGATATCCCCACAGAGGCTTGGGAAAAGGTCGAAAACTCTGGGAAATGGGGGTGCAGAGGTGGGGCGCCGGTGGGATCTTTGCACCATGGCGACGGGTATGCTTAAGATGGCCCTGGAGAGAAATATGAACTGAGTAACCAATGCAGAGTCAGGAGAAGGAGAAGAAGCACCCCACTGCAAGTCCCCCAAGCAATGTGAAAGAAATGACTGTGATGCCCAATCATTTAAGAGTTCTGAATTTCAACTTGGCTCCTGACAATTACATGAATATATGAACCACATTCAAACTCAGCAGATGAATTCAATCAGGGCCAGGCAAATATCGCATACATAATCTATTAGTTTACCCCAAAGAAACCGAAGCATTGAATTCAAACAGAATGAAGTCATCAGTAATAAAAAGAAAGAAACTGATAAGGCAATATTAAAAAAAAAAGACCACCATTTTCTCACATTTTCAAGAAAAATCATACCTTGACTGCAACCTATTCTCCCATCTGACTATAAATACATATATTTAAAAATATGGGTTTGATCAGATACCAATTCTAAAGCAAAGGAATGAAGAAGATGGGAGGGGGTATATTTTTTTTCAGTTGCATAGGATGAACAAATGATTGTCCTGAAAAGAAATCAGACCTTGAAATAGAAATAT